CCCCAAAACCCCAAAACCCCAAAACCCCAAAACCCCACTTTTTATTAAATTTATTGATTCTTATGCGTTGAGGTTAGTGATATAGATCTGAGCATCGTTCACAATGGCATCTATCTTGTAGTGGAATCTTGAATGTTCGGTCATATATGCTTTGCCAAGCTCCTCGAACTTCTCTCTGTCACTATTGTTGATATTCCTGCTACTTTTGTAATACATTTGATGCTGTTTGGTTGAACCAAAAAGCTTATTCTTAAATTCCTTATCCTTTTGTTTCTCTCTTTTAGTCTTGGATATTATTTTCTTGATGACCTATAGCTAGTTAGAAGGTCTTTACATCAACAGGTCTGCAAGGGTTATTTTAACTTCAGGGTTTTCCATGAGTTCTCGACTGTTCTAATTTCACTAAACACAGTTCTAACCTTGGGCTCTGCTTTTATACCTGAATTATGGGTTATTATCTAAAGTACCTTGGCCTGTGCTCCTGATCATTGGGAGTTTACTCTGGTTTTTAGTCATTCCAGACCTTCTTGATATCACCGAGTCAAGCCTGGACTTATCAATAGTGGCTGACTTAAACTCTGAAGAGAGGTATTTGTTCGCAACATGTTTGAAATAACTGGGGAATTTTACCATCTCCAGATCTCCCATATCCAGGTGCTATATGGAGTTATCAATATTTCCAAGATTTTGAGAAATTTAACTTGAATAATTTCTTACAGCTGACTTCTTAATAGTTTTCTTCAACTTTGAGATCTTAGCCTTACTTCTCCTGTTCATGAGATTTCGTACTTTATGAAATGTCTTGTCATCTTCCGATGTTGTTTGCATTATGATTTCTTTACCTCTTCTGATAGAGTTGAGGATCATTACTTTCTTTACATTTTTATTTAAAGATCTCCTTGATGTTCTTCTTCCTTAGTTTTGCTAAATACTCTTGTTTGGCTTTGGAAGAAAGCTCTAGAGGGAATATGAAAAATTCTTAAGGATTCTTAAATACCTTCTTGGTTCAAGTTGTTTTCAGACAAAGGACCTGGGCTAGGATTGATTTTATTAAGGGGCTGTAGATCAGGAGCTCCTAGATTCGGACTCGATCCTTCTGAAAGATCAATAATCCCATCTAATTACATTGTTAATTTAACTTTAAGAGAGTAAAGGCTACACTAAAATTTATAAGATTGAACTCTGAAAAACAAATATACCTCTAAACATCAGGGGAGAAAATTGCTGGACTAGAGCAACTATTCTGATTCTTAAAGAAATGTGTCCTTTGTGTTGCCCCAAAGTAAGCTTTATTTGCATTATCTTCAATCTCAGGTGAAATCATCAACGTTTGAGTTGAATTTCTAATAGTCTGCATGTTATCTAAATTATTATGAAACTTGTGTAATTCAATATAATAAGTTATTATTGGGGTTTTGGGGTTTTGGGGTTTTGGGGTTTTGGGGTTTTGGGGTTTTGGGG